CAGCGGCGCTGGGATCGTTGTGTTCACTCCCAGGGGAACTACTTCGAGGGTGATGGATGAATTTAATACCTGAGATAAGTGTACGGGTTTTTATAGGCGCAGTCTTGAAACCTTTCGATCGCACCTCGTATAAACTGTGAGGATGAAGATTAAAGGTCCACGACAAATTTGATGGCCACCTGCATTAGTACATGACGCGAACACAAAGAATATCACAATCCAAGTGTCACCAAAACTCGACATTAAGAGTGTTACAATTAATATACGTACTATAAACTCATTTCTATTGAATTTGTCCTTTCAGTAAGTAGGCTACACGGTAAGTTCTGTTAGGGTTCATGATGGAAGTAACACGGCTTGTGTGTCAAGTTAGAAGATGAACGGACACAGGCCTCGTGCCTTTGAAACTGGGTCACGCCCGCGTCTCGAAGCGTCGTCAGATTTCGAGTTAAAATATCTGATAAAACAGCATCCATTTTCGGCTAGAGAGGAGACGTTTGCTAACTGTCAACGTGTATCCCAGCTACTCGCTTTCTCTCTATAAATTTCTCAAAAATTAATAATTTTGAATTTATAAAAATGTACGTATGGGAGATATTTTGTCTTAAAATGAGATATTTCAAAAGGGCCTAAATAAGTTTTAGAATTGTCTTTGTTGTGACGATAAGATAACAAATATGGCGACTAGTTTCTATTAGTAATTCCAGCATTCAATAACACTGCCTGTAGCTAATCATATGAGGTAACAGAGTGAATTGAGAACTTTCATTTCTTTTTAAAATAAAACTTGTGAACTTAGCGAATTCAAGTAACTCGGCTGGCACCATAACACATATTTTCGGACACTGAGTGATCCTCCACTAATTGAACACAATTATTTTGGATTAAAGTCTTATCTTCTAATACCGATATCTGTAATAGTCTGTACTATGTTCAAAACAAAAATTAGGAAGCCAATTATTGTAATCAATCTCTTACATTTGGCAATTATTAGAATTACCTTCAATCACGTAAACACAATATTTTCAGGGTGATTAAGTCAAAATGAATGAAATAGACGGGGAATGTAGCACGCATGGATGGGCCAAGGGGTGTGCATTGGGTATTGGTTGGAAAGCCTGAGGGGAAGAGACCGCTGGGGAGACCTAGACGTAGATTGGGAGGATAATCTCAGGCGGGATCTATCGGAGTTAGGAGTTGAAGGAAACTGGATTTTGTTGGCCCAGGACAGGGTCCGGTGGAGGGCTTTGGTTAATTCGGTGATGAACCTTCGGGTTCGGTAAGCCATCTAGTTAGTTAGTTATACTACAGAATATACACCATGACGTTCCAACAGTTCTTTAGTGTTTCTTATTTCTTTTTACAACTGTCTGAAGCTGTTTCAGCGGTGGTAGAGGCAACTTCAGTGTCACGATGGAAGACGACGAGGAGCTAGAAACGGCTCCTACTTGTTGGCTTAAGTGATTCAACCTAGAAAAAGTAAAGAACAAATTATCAGGTGAGAGACAGTAAAACTTCAGCTTTCAAGAAAGCCACGGTGAAGTTTTTCAAATGTTTCAGCAAAAAATTACAGTAACCATTTCAGCTGAGATAAAAAAGAAACAGATACCTCCCACATACAAGCCTCAGATCTTGCAGTCACGATGACCTACTCCTTTACAGAATGTCATAACAACAGGCTTCCATCACAATTCAGTGCTTTCTGCGGTAGTTCCATCAGATAAAATGGCAGCCATCCACCCCAAAACACTTACCTCTTTACAGATATCGAAAGAGACTTGGATAGTAGTTCAAGGTTGAGCTTGAAATGTGAAAGGATAAGTCCCAAAACAAGCAGGTGACACAAGGCTTTGTCTTTCAACAAGTTGGGTCGCAACCTGTACATAGAATTAATTTCAATAACAATAACTAATATACTCAGACAATGGATTGTCATACTGTAATATGTATGATTTCATAAACTAGACTATCCGTATGTGATGTTACTCAAACATTTATGTGCCAAGAGTTTATATGGGTTTCTATTACATTGTCTATTGATTGTACAGTGTTTCTTACAATTCGCATCTGGTAGCTACATTAAGATATGAAAAAGAAAAAGAACAACAACAACTTGCCTAATTTAACATTTATATACATCATATTCTAGAAATACAATGGTAAAATTATGCAGACCAGCTAGAATATATTTTTATAGCTCAGGGAGTAAAGTTGAATATCTTAGCAAATAAAGGGGATAATTTTTTGATGTAAACTGAAGTCGTGCATGAACATCTGACTACAGTCAAACACCTCAGCAAGAGGGGCAGTAGTGTCTGCAATCCAAGCACAGCAAAGTTAGGAAATACCACTCATATCCAGACACTATTCAGCCCACCATCACACATATAAATGTATGTGTGTATTCACTACCAATCCTAAGAAATGGAAAGGACTTACCTGCCATGTGGAGACTGCACTGTAAATGTATTAATGATTTTGGAGTTGACATCCTCAGAGTATGGACAAACTATATTCTTCTGCTTCTGCAAACTTTTTAGAGATGTATTTAGGAACTTAATGAGCAAATCAGCATACAGCAGGGCGCACACACTTTCAATAACTGGTTGACTGCTGCCAAGTTGCAAAACATTCGGCAGAGTCTGCGAGAAAAATGAGCTGAACCTACAAAAACACAAAACAAAATATATTACGAATAAATTCTACAAACAGTGCACTCTTACTGGGCAGGACAGTTGATCAATGTGAAGACACCTAAAAGGACTAAATACGAGTACTGTGATCTAGCCACTACTCACATATCCTTCTTCGGCTCCTTCATGGTTCTAATGGCTTCTTCCTTCAAGGATGCTAACTCCTCAGCAGAAACAATATCATGTAAGCTGTAAACATCATCAACTGTAGCTGCAATTCGGTTTATAGGGGGAAGATACGCTTCGTGTGAAGCGTTAACAACTGGTTGTTGACTCGCTTCTTCTACAGACACGCTGTCAATCACATCTTTCAACTTGTCCTTCAGATAATCTGCATTAGTACGCATTCGCGTGTAGCTTTCTAATGAACGTTGCTGCCTTTTTGAACCAAACTTCATTTGTAGTCGATCTCTGTCTTCTTGTGTGACCACAGACACAATACTATTCTCCTCCACACGTGGGACAGGGGACAGCAAGAAACTTGTCGTTGGAACAAGACGTACCTGTCACACAGATACCAAATACTTGTAATCAACCCACCAGCTTACTCAGACAAAAATATTACCATCCTGCTTGAACTGGACAAAACTTACTACCTTCAAGGTATATATATAGTCTTCTTCAAGTAGTTGACAATTATTAACTTGGTCAATATATTCCCTGCTTTTATGAACCCTACACATTCAACAACAAATTGTGAGAAGAGTGTAGTGTGGTATGATCAAGTAAATGAATCTACAATTTTAACTGTACATACAATCAATGTAATGAAGAATGCATCACTGTAATACAAGAACAAAATCTTACCTTATTGGTTTGCCTGTTCCTTATGGCTATCAGGTTATGTGCTATGGTGTTCTCAGCCGGTAGCTCAGAGCCACTGAACACATGATCGTCATCCACGGCCACTACTGCCACACGTTTCCCAGTCTTCTTGTGGGCATAGAGTCCACATTTCACTTTGTGAGCTTCCTCTGGGATCAGTTCACTGTGCTGAAATGAAACTGTTGACAAAAACAAGTCCTTGAGATATATAAAAATGTATCTTCTATACAAGAATGTGGTGAAAAAGTTCATCTTTGTTAGTGACATGACATAAGACACACAAATTTCCTTTCCTGCAGCATTTGTAATGAAATAAGCTGTTGGGATCTTCACCATACACAGGCCTCTGGGTTGTAGTGCTGTGTGGTGTGGCATTAGTTTACCAATGTGTCTGAAGTCCTTCCTGCCTCCATAAACTCAGACTACATGGCGCTACAAACCACAATAAGAGCTGTCTTTGAATTCACCGCCGTGAGAACCTCAAATCTTACCACAGCAAAAGAGGTTGGCAACGCCGAAAACCAGCCAGAGGCCGCCAACCAAACTACATTACGCTACCGTAAAATGGCCTATACGAAGTTGGCCTAACCTAAAGAAATGTAACGTAACTAACATAACATTCATCAACAACATACCAAATGATAGCAATTATCTGTTACACTAAGTTATCAAACACTAAATTTGGTGACGGTACATTAGGTTAACAGCTACTATTTTCTGGTTCGGGATCCAAGTGCTGCCAACGTCTCTGCCGTGCTTCCGCCTACAATTTTGGTTAATTAGCTCCTACGTACTTAAAGTTTGTCAAATTTCGAAAAATTTATTGCTAGCTGGCCACCATTCTAGTGATGGGACTACAACATATAATGGTTCTTGCTGTTTAGCTCTGAACCGACCACAGCTTTTGCGAAGTTATTTTCTATATTTCCAGCTATCGCTAAACAAACACAATTCTCTTAATATTTTAATTCTTATGTCTGTTTAGCGCTCATTAATTTTGTTCTCTCTTTCTGCGTCTTTAAGCCCTCACATTCTTCATAACATCTACTTTCATGTACAGTTAGTGGTGTAAAGTTGGAAACACTTCCAGGTTTTATCCTAATATTGGCTGTGCGTGAGTACATTAATTCTATTATATTTGTGATTATATGATGATGTGTGACATTCAGAATTCCAACAAACGTACCTAAAACAGTCATGTCGTCTGTGACTTCTGATACACGGCACTGGGCTGGTTTCATTTTTGTACTGCAACTATTATTTTCTCATTCTAGTGTCGTTCTAACCTCTTTACTGCACAAGTTCCAATGCTACCAACGTTCAGGATTATTATGCCACCATTATGCGCATTCACCGCTATCTGTCGGCAGTCGGTTTCCAGCTTTCCAAGACACTTGTCATCTGTCGAACAGCCTCCAAGTGAACCTCGTCGAAAAGTTGGAAGAATGGTGAGTCGGAGCTTCGAAGTGTAGCACGTTCAGCCCCAGTGGGTTTGTCACTGCTTTAATTTCGTCTTCGATATCAATACGTTCCCTTCAGCATGTCATTTGAAATTTCAAGTAGCTTATCACATACATGTATATATTGTACTATATTAATTTATTATAATTTATTTATCGGCGCTTTTAAGAGCTCCGATAAAAAGCGATTAATAATAGGATGATTAATGAATAATTAATTTTATGGGATGGAAGGAGATGGTCGTGGTCAAATTTAAGGTATTAGACCAGTATTTGGCTAGAGTGGCTGCGAAAAATCAGGAAAAACCTGTCAAAACAATTTTCGGACCGAAATTTGTTCCCGGGACCTCACGAATTGAGTGCAAGTGATAATCACTCGATCATAACATTCACTGTATTAAACTTAAGGTTGACAGTCCGTCTAGACAACAATTGTGTATTATAGTTTCACTGTTTATCCGACTTTGTATTATTTTGTTCTGAAATAAGTCTTTTGTCTGCCGGTATTGTGACCTCGATAACGGGAGTTTTCAAAGCGTGCAGGCCTTGGCAGCGTTATTTCCTTGAAACTGGAGTTCGAATGTGGATATGAATCTTGAAACTGCCGGAGATGTCGGAAGTGTTTGAATTGTGAAACAGTGGATTGTTGGAAAAAAGGAGGGGTTACTTTGAACGTCGAGTTCGCGTAAATAATTTTCTGATTACTTTCTAGGTAACATGCGCCGATGTCATTTGAATAATACTGAAAGAAAATAGTAGAGAAGGAAACCAGCAAGGATGCGATTCCTGGCATGCTCCTATTTTGCGAAATCCATTTGGACCAGTCCAAGTGTACGAAGTAGGATTCACGTATCTCGAAATCACTTCACCTTTATAAAAGTCTTGAATTCGATTTTTTTATTCCGCCATAAATGCTACAAATTTATGTAATACGTGAATTTCAATCAACGCATTCTGTTCCTTGATTGACGTAATGAGTTTCCATGACAACGAAGCATTATTCTATACAGAGTTACGTCGTGGGTCAATAAAACCAAGATAAATTGATAATCTTGAGTTGAAAGGTTTCGTTGGGCTCGTACCAAGTGAATGTATCTGTCCGCTTGACATACGACCTCATTATCAGTAGGACCTTGTTTACAGTTCTAATCCAAGTGTGATTTGACTCACTCTTCGGAAAAAAGTAGGTCTACCTGTCGAAGTATAAAACTATTTTAATTTATACTCTGCTTAATTAACGGCGTTTTCAGTATATTATATAGCACTGAATGAAAGGATTAGTATATAATGAGTTGGAACTTGGAAGCCGTCGTGGTCTAATTTAAGGTATTAATTTATCCGGGTATTATGTTGGATAAACGGAGTAACACCACAAAAACCCTCAGAACATTTGGTCAGTAGGCTGAGATTTAAGCCCTGTATTTTCCAGTTGTCAATGCCTACAATTCTGCTGTTTGATTGATGTAGGAAGTACTATTGCAATAGTGAACATTGAAGGTCTCTTAAGTCGAGTCATCGTTTAGAATGTTCTCAAGCGACTTTAACACATTAACATTTGAAATAAATAGCTTAACAGTCAGTTTCTTATTCGGGAGTGCCCAAAGATTGGCTATTCAAATTATATTTCTCCACGGTCTCTCTCAATCCCTCCAGGAAAATGCTGATATGATACCCTAATTCTTTGAAGCCAAGAACCACTGGACAGATTTGGATGTATGTTTAACCTCTGAAGAATAGTGGTAACTGTATGTACCATCTCCTGTAGTAATCAGCTATTCTCTGTTTTTTATCCTATATCTATCAATTTCATATGACTCTCAGGGAATTTTCTTAATGGTGGCAGTGAACTCCTGTGAAAAAATTGTCAGTATCTACCAGACTACATGGTGCAACATCCCAGAAGAAAATATACTATTCGAAAAATTATCCAAGCAGATTCGAGACAGTGTATTTTTAAGTCTCTTTCAACATGAATGTACACAGAAAAATTTACTTTCAAATGTATCCTCTTAACATTTCACTCATTACTATCGTTACACTGTAATATTATATAAAATTTATACAAACACCTGCAACAGTGGAGTTAAATGAGAAAAAGTTACACTTCTTACCATGTTTGCAGTTGGATTATATTAAATGAAATTTTAGAGTGCTAATGTAAAACAAGAATATAATAATATTAATTACTGTCATAGGCTGGAAAACTGAGTCCTGAAGAGCGGACAGCAAAGCTGGAACCACTTCTCTCGAACAACTGGTCCATGATGGATGCTCGTGACGCTATCTACAAGGAATATCTGTTCACCAACTTCAATCAGGTTTGTGTGTGTGCGCTGCAGACAGTGTTCAACTATTCAGCGTATTAAGATAATATTCTGTAAAGTTTCCAGATATATTCTTTAGTTTCCGTTAATGATAAAAGTTTTTGTCACAATATGATCAAAATTCCAGGATATATTCCTTGTTGAAGATCGCTGTCTTCTGATATGTTCAACTTTATAGTCCAGCAGAAGTTTACCGACATTTCAAGAGGTGCTTACTGCCTCCATCATCAGGGCAATGAGTAAGCCAAAGAAAGAAGAACCAGGCCAGGACTTGGGGTTCATTCTGATCGATACTGACATGACTCATAGTCACTGTTGTCAATTCCTCCTTGAGGAAACCTACAAAGATCTGTTTTCAGAGTTAGCCACGTAGTATCATCAGTTTCCCAGAATGTCTCCTTTGTCTGATCCACGTGCTGTTTATATTCTTCCCGCAAGTTGTAACAGAGAGACCGTTGCAGGCATTTGGCTTCATGACCCGAGTGGCGCTAATGGCAGAGAAGATGGACCATCACCCTGAATGGCTCAATGTCTACAACAAGGTGCAGGTGACGCTGTCATCACACGACGTTAATGGCATCAGCGTGCGCGATGTCAAGCTGGCCTCCTTCATGGACATGGTTGCCAAATCACTGATCCCAATAAAGGAGTGAAGTGCTTTATGATTCCAATATTTTCACCGAATCTCACATGGACAATTCAGTACATTTGGTTCTGTTAATGGATTTGTTCAGAGAATATATGTATATTGTGATGATCTAATCCTGTCAAATAAAGATATTTATTTGAATTGTGCAGATATATCAGTTCTTCAGTAGACGCTTGTTCCTATTCCTAATAAACTGACTGGTTCACATTCAAGATTTCTAACACCAAAGCATAACATTAGATCTACATTTTAGTGTCTTAGAAACAAGATAAGATAGTTTTCCACAGATCTTATTTATTTATACTATTGAGTTCCTCCCTTGTATTTAAATTTTGAAACATTTAGGTATATTTTACTGGGTATGCATATTTTAGCCGCATGGCAAAAATGTAGTGCATCCGGTTGCAATTAACCGGCTGCTGCATTCACCCAACAAATGATTATCCATCTGGCAATAAAAATTAATACACTCACAATAATGTCATTGGTTTTTGGGGTCTAATTTTTAATATACTTCCAACATGACACATGCACTGTCACTATGGTCATCTGACGTAAAAAGTTCTTAATTAGGATACGCACTTCACCTGTATGATGCCATGTTGTAACAACAAATGGTCTGGATGAACGGTTACATCAAATCCTCATGATGGGGATGGAGCTGGTCCCTGAAATGTCAATTTTTAACTAACTGACATGGCTGATATCCTGACAAGATTTTAACAGCTGTATCCAAAATTAATAGTTAAACCAAATGTAACATTAGCAAGAAGTCAGCAACATTCTACGTGACATCTCGTTGCCCGTCAAGTCTAGTTCTCCTTGTTATACGTTTATGTTAAATCAGATGCATTATCACAAAACCAATGTATCAACAATTTTTATGATGTAAGTTTCACAAGTATTAGCAACTCATTTATAGGTTACATACAAAATATACAGAGTATCGTACAAGTTTCACATTGTGTAGAATTTATGGATCATGCATTGATGCCGAGAGCCATCATGCCTTACTAATCAAAGTTTGCACTTCATTCAACGTGCAAGACTGCTAGAGGGTTAAATACAGAAGGATATGTACAACAGATCATTGACGGTCAAGATACTAGGGTCATTATACGTGCGTTCTTTAGTCATGAGAAGAAGACACTGTCGGTGTCTGAGAACAGGGTGCCGAGGGGATTGGACACAAAAAGGATGAATTTACACTGCATGTACAGTGCAGCAAACTAGTCAAATTGAAATTGTTTTCATAACCAGCATCCTTCTAGTAGCAAACAGTTTGTTACCAGATTAAAATATTCTGTTGTCACCCTAACAGGAAAGAAGTATGTGGATTTCATAGAGTGGTTACACTGACAATGTTGATATCAGATTATCTGAAAAGAATGACCCCACATCAATGCTTGATAATGATAATATCATAGTATGTAAAGGCACCTTTTGGGTAGTCAAATCAAACAACTTATGTTACTCTAAGGTGAGAAACAGAAGCATGAAAGCATTAAAAACTTCTTTAAAACTAAAAAATGTCCAGTCATTATATTATCTGAATATCAATAAACTTTACAACTATGTCCAGCTTCAGGTAAAACCTACTCTGTTGGGCACAATCGATAGAGCTAGTCCCTATCTCCGGACATGGTAGAAGTCTCGGACGACGGAAAATGTCCAGAAAATAGTTCACTCCAACAACGCACCATCGTCACAAACTTTCAGAAATGAGCTTCGCAACTATGTTTCTCCTGATGGTAATCTGTAATTGCAGCTGCAAATGTGGAAAATATTTAAGCGGTTCACTGTTGTCGATCAGGTTCTGCTGTATGTACGCTGCATGATATATATATATATATATATATATAGCCAGAGCTCTTATGTTAAGAACGCTGTGGCATTAGAAAAGGGGCAAAGGTAAGAAATGGAAACCCTCAGCTACAGCTGAACTTCACGTAACATACTAAAACAGCGGAAAAGGGGCACTTTCATTACAGTGAAGTGGGATGGCAAAGGGTTAAAGAAGAAAGGACGTTTATTTACACATTCAGGGGTAAAATACTGCACAGTTTACGTTCTGACAAGGAGACAAATACTTTGTAACACAAAACTGCTGATGTATATTTTTCTTCAGTAACAGTGAAAGGGTTAAGTAAAGATGAATTTTTATAAGAAAATTCATTACATACCAAGTTGTTTATATACAATAAAATAAATGTTAA